GAGAAACCCCCCAAAAAAAAAAAAAAAAAAAAAAAGAAGAAGAAGAAGCTGTACCAGTTTCGGCCGCTAGTTATAATGATGACCGAGGCCTGTGCAACTGGATCTTATGTTAGACAAAATAATATTACTAATAGGTCCCTCCCCTCAAACCATGGTGTCCCAGATGAAGCTGCACTGGGACTGGCAGAGTCTGGAAACAATTTGGTGAAACCAGCACTGAGATTGTAAAACTAGTCATCATCTGAAGACAGGCCTTTTGATTCACATTACTCCATGCATTATCCAACACAATGATGGACTCGAACAAATATTGGTGAGACTGATGACATTTTCTTATCATTTATTTTTTCCATGACTCGGTCCTATAGTAAGTCATTTCCGATTAATTTTTGTAACTGGATTAAAAAGTTACGAAACTTTTAAAGTGAAACAGTAAAGTAAAGGAAAGGTTCAGAAGCTAGGAGTCATTCTTCACTTTTGCACTTCTGAATCCCTTTCCGAGTGCTCACCTCCAGGCTGGCGATAGCGGAGGTGCCGGGGAGTTGAGGGGGATCTGCAAGGTGAAAGTTCTGTGGCATCCACTGCAGGGGAGCTTTCCACTCCTGTTCGGTCCACTGGTGTAGACTCTAGGACTGCTGCTTAAAAACATCATGCGTTTTAACAACCAGGCCGTTAGAACAAGAGCTTCTTGTCAGTATCAAGCATGGAAACACAAAAGTTCATTATAGATAACAAGCATGCCGTATTAGTCTCCATTTTTTAGTGTTGTAATATGCAATCAAGTTACTCCTCAGAGCATGCTACTGATGCTAAACCTAAATATGGACCTTTTCTAACTTTGTCTTGCTAACCCCCTTGAGTCTGGCTGACTCTGGACAGCCCCTTCAGTCCAATGCAACGGCAGATATTAAAAAACCAAGTGGAAGGCAGTGGATCCCTTGCCTACCAGAATGGTTTTGCTTTCTTGTAGTGGGGAATGAGGAACTTTTCCAGATTGCAAATCAGATTAGGATCAGACTTCATTAGTTCCCTGCCTGGGTTACTCCTTAAGCCAAGTAAAGTTTGAATCTCTATCAACATGCTCACCCCAACCGCCAGCCCTTATCTCACGCAGGAAGCCCTGTGGGCTCCTCAAGACCGACAGCTGCACTGCTCAAGATGGCAGCACATTGAACGTGTGGCTGTGTGAATTTGCGCTAACTCAAGTGCCATGACTTTCGGTTCTCCACTTGCACAAGCCGAGTTTCAAATGCTCAGTAGCCACATGGGGCTTATGGCTGTAGTACCGGGCAGCACAGACACAGAGCATGCATCCTGCCAGAAAGTTCTACTGGGAGCTCTGAGACAAAGGGACAGATAAGCAAGTGGAAATGTTTTAAATGAACTGGGAGAGTGTAAGAAACTTTGTGCCTCTTTGCTGCTGCTAAGATCTCCAAAATAAAATAAAAGACACATCATTCTCAGGTCACATAGGTGATTGCTAGAGACATTGCTATACCCGGTGATTTATTAACCAAATAAAACTACAACTTTGTGTATGTTCTCTCAAAGAAAAGGAATTATAAACATTTAATAAATTGCCAACAATTTTTCTATGTCACCCCCGTGGGGCTTTTCATTAACACATGAAACTTTGGTGTCATCGCCACTCATTTGACATGACCCCTGTCAGCAGAACTACTCCCGTTTGCTTTCCATTCAATATTCCATTCAACGAACCACAAAATCCCTAATGACTTATATATAGCCATTTTTACACTTGCATGTGATCTACCCATTTGGAAATAGGACCGTAACATCGCTCTTTTGAAACATAAAAAGGCCAGGGAAGGGAAATGTTTAGAATCTTTCCTTGAATGGCATAATTACAGTAAAGCTGGCAATGATGCACGATGCAGACAAAAAAAAAAAAATCAGTGCTTAGCTGTCAGTTTTATTATTTTCTAAATAACTCCCTTAAAATGCAGTAATGGAAGGCATCTGCTCTGTCAGAGCAAGCAGAATACCAAATACATGCCCTTGGTCTGATTCAAACATTCATTCATCTTGGGAAAATGAGAAAATCATTAGTCAGCAATTACACAGAACCCCAAACCGTTCCAGTGAGAGAGCTGGACAGGAAGTGCTGAAGGAGGAAAGTGCAAAATGATGCAGCAAGCCAGCAGGCACCTACAGAGAGAAGAAACTAAGCCAGTGTGGAGCAGGGGGTTGGAAGCGGGGTTGGGGGTAGCACTTCCTTCTGGCATGTTCACTTTCAATCAAGCTCCATGCAAACAGCTTTGCCTGCAGGATGAGTGGGCAGATGTGGGCTCAAAACAAATGCTAAAATCAGGAGCACTTTCAGCCCACAGGCAGGCAATTTTCAAACTGAGAACATAGAAACAGACACTAGTGCTGCGGGCTGCACTGCAGCATCAGGCGGCTGTGGCCTGAGCGGTCACCAACCGGGAAGGGGCTCAACTGCAGTGGGCAGCCCTGGGCTCTTCTTATCTGCCCTGGGAATTAATTTTTATCGGGAACTCATCATCAGGTAGAATCTGTACATCTGAGTCAGGCTTTTTAGAAGCACCTACACTGGAAGAAAGTAGGAGCTGCCTGGTAATAAGAAAGGAGGACACTGGAACCAGCAGATGGCCTAATGGTTATGTTGCTGGATTCCCACGTAGACAACCACAGTTCGCACCCTGGACCTGATGTCTTAAAACTCACGCCGGGCACGTGTGCATGTGTGTCCAAAACCCAGAGAGAATGGAGGAGAAGGGATTGTGGAATCACCCTGGGGTGGTGGTGGTGGTGCATGATTTTTCATTTTCTCTCTCTCTCTCTCTTTGGCAAGCACACATGCCCTATAGCAGAAATCTCTCCAAAAAATATAAAAAGAAGGGTGAACACTAGTGAATGTTGGGGAAGCATGGAACAGATTTGAGGACTGGGTTGGAGGAACATTAAATTGCACTTTTTCCCCCTAAGCAGTTCATTGTCTCAATCATTTGGGGGGCTATTTCCTATTCCTGTTTCCTAGTTCTTCTATCCCTTCATGTCATGTGACATTCTCTTGCCAGAAAATATTGCGAGGCTAGCATTATCACTGCAATGACAATACAACTGGACAAAGGCCACTAGCATTTTTCAAAGAGCCTACCCTGGAAATGTCTAACTGAATGGCAATGAGCACAGCCAATGGCCTCAGTATGCATGTAATGGGCAAAACTCGTAATAATATTATGTGATAAGATTGTGTGGGGCTGGATCCCAAAGTGAAGAGCAGAGAATAGAGTATAAACTCTTGGCACAAGATTCTTACCCAAGTTTGCCAACTGTTTCAAGCATTAACATCATGTGAAGCATGCACAGACATCTTTCAAATTAAAGACAGACCAACATCTCCCTTCAAGACAAGACAGCAGAACAAACACAGCAGCAACTTTGGCTTCTACAGATATCACATGCATGTGTGCACATGCGTGTGCATGCACACAGGCATTGAACTTGCAGCCTGATAAGACTTTCCTAAAACTATTCATGACTAATAATGCCTACACACCAATGCAAAAGACAGAACACAATCTATGATCCCTGTTTCATTTATTCAGAAAAATGCTAGAGAGACCATGAAAATTAGTCTTAATTCTAAGCTTTCCAGTCACAGTGCTTCCTTTATGAAGATCTGTAAGGTCAATTCTTCTCAAATTGTTCTCAATAGCCAGAAAAGAGGTGCCTACACAACCAGTATTTCTAGCTTTCCATATGACTCATATAATTGATTACACTCTTGTTTTTATTCTGTCAGCTGAGAAGCTCAGGATCGAAGTCACAGGGACTCTGAAAACTTTAGAGAGATACACAGTACTCATTTTTTCACTAACGATAGCTTTGGCCTCACATCACTTTTCTCCCTTTCTTTCCACTGCCCAATGTCCTTACATATTTTATTTTTAACCCGGTCGGTCATACGATGTATCTCTTTGAATTACCACCTTACTATTTTTAGGTATAAGGTGGAAAATGAATACATTAAATGAAATTAGGAGACAGCTACAGAAAGGGAAAAGAAATAAAGATACATAGAAGTGTCCAGGAACAAAGTGCTCAATGAGAAGATTAACAGAGGGGTCATGAAAAGACTGAGAGCTGAGGGGGATGCACTGGTGAGTGAATGCCACTAAGATACCCAGACAGCAGAGGTGCTGTTATCTCTGGAGGAGAGGTGGCTCTCTGGGCTTCATAAAATGCCATGAGCCCTACCCAGACATAATCTAGACATTCCTCATCATGCTCAGAGAGCAGAGCTCAGCATTTATAGTGACCTGGAACTACAAAATAATGTTTCTAACCTATGAACCATGTGAATAAACTAAATCTAGAAAAAAATTAACTCTAAATCATTTGTTTTGGGGAGATCTAGTAAGAAATAGAGGCATTAAGCCTTCACTTTTAGCCAATTCTCTGAAGTGAGAGAGAACCTAATATTTCTGCCACATCTTGTTCACGAGCCCTCTCCATCTACTGGCCCCACGCTATAATGACCAAAGCTGATGTGACACACATGCACGCACCATATGACAGAGCTCTCCAGGAGCTGCAACTGTGTCCCCAAGGATCCGCCTCTGTTTATGTCTGTACTGACAGGTCTTCACAGTCTTTTGTCAGTGTTCACCCCCGGGAGTTTGATCCAGTTCTGTTTCTTTATTTTGGTCTTTTTGTGCTATGCTTTGAATGTGTCTCCCAAAGTTCACATTCTGGAACCTTTATCTTCACTAAAATAATGCTGAGAGGTAGGACTCTAAAAGGTGATTCAGTCAGCCCTTGTGATTAATGCCATTGTCACAGAAATGAGTTCATCATTGAAGGAGCAGGTTCCTTATAAAACGGTGAGTTCAGCACCCTTCCCTCACTCCCTCCCTCACATGATGCTTTCCACCACATGATGATGCATCAAGAAGGCCCTCATCAGATAGTGGTGCATGATCTTGGACTTCTTAGTCTTTAGAACTGCTCATTATAAATTTCTGCTCATTATAAATTATCTAGTCTTAGGTATACTGCTTTATCAGTACAAAACAGACTAATAGATCCCACAAGTAATATTCTTTGAGTTTATTTCCTTAGGAGAAAAACTATTGATTTCTACTCCATCCTTAGATAGCAGCCAAGTAGGTTTTATGACATGGCATTGGACGATGGCTGTACACTCTGGCTTGGGCTTTGAAAACCAGAACTAGGAAGTTGGTGACCTAAGTGGAATACTCTGTGCCCAAGTTAACACAGTACACACTTAATCAGGGAGGTCAATGGGTAACTTGACTAAGGACATCCAGAACTATGACCTACTTTTAGACTGTAATCTAGAAAGGGGTATATTTTGCTGTTGCTTTTCTATAAAAGAAAAAAAAAATAATATCCATACAACTAGGCCTTAGCCACAGTAAAATGCAATCTCTGGGAAATTTAAAAAAAAAAAAAGAAAGAAAGAAATATTCTCCCCTTATACCCTTTCAGATGGCCACCATTAAAAATAAAAGTGGGACCAGCAGATGGCACAATGGACTCCCACTTAATCTATCACAGTTCAAGTCCCAGACCTGGTGGCTTAAAATGCATGCCGGGTGCATGTGTGTGCATGCCCAGAATCCCAAGATGAAAATGGGGGAGAAGGGATTGCAGCCTGGACATCCTCCCTGGGGGGTGATTTCTCGCTTTCTGTAGCTCTGTCGCTCTCTGTCTCTTTGGCAAGCACATACAACCTATAGCAAAAACCTCTCCAAAATAAAAAAAAAAAGTAACAAGTGCTGGTGAGCATATGGAACCCTTGTGCTCTGTTGATAGGAATGCAAAATGATGCAGTCACTATGTTAATCAATATGGAGTTTCCTCAAAATGAAAAACAGAATACCATATGATACAGCAATAATACTCCTGGATATATATATCCAAAATAATTGAAAGCAAGATCTCGAAGAGATATTTGCACACACATGTGTATAGCACTATTCACAATAACCAAGAAGTGAAAGCAACCAAAATGTCCCTCACCAAATAAATGAAGAAAGAATGTGTGGTATATACATATAACAAAATATTACTCAGTCTTAAAAAAAAAAAAAAAGAAAGAAAAAATTCCTATCACATCTCTAACATGGTCAAACTGGAGGGCATTATGGTCAGTGAAATAAGCCAAATGCTATGGGATTCCACTAAATGAGATAGGTAAAGCAGTCAAACTGATAGAAAAGGAAGTATAATGATATAATGAGGCTATCCAGGGAGTAAGGGGAGGAGGAAATGGAGGGGTGTAGGATTTCACTTTTGCAGAATGAAAAAGTTCTAGAGATGTGTTGTACAACAATGTGTATGTACTTAACCCTATACACTTAAGAGTGGTAAAAAGAAGGAGAAAAAGAAGGACTCTTTAGGAGAGCTGTTGTTTTTAAGTTTATTTGATGCTAGATGGCCCTAGTAAAGAGTTCTGCCTACAGGGCTGCCCCTAGTGGCCTCAGAACAAGACAAAAGCAATGATGTCCCCTATTCTCAGAAATGGCATCCACCTTGGGTGGTTATCACTTAGCCCTTGGCTCGTATACTCTCTGTGCCTAGAGGTTGCCCTGTCTTCTCTCTCTAGTCCACAGATACATCATTCTTGGTTCATGGTGAAAACTTCCCTATTCTGCTCACCAGGATATACCTCCCCTGCTTTCAATCTTCTGGAGCACTCTTTCTACACCTTTCGTACCGCCTCCCTTATAGTTACGCTGCATCTACATTAGCCACATAACTAGAGTATGAGGGATGAGGGTCCCGTCCTACTTACCATATTCTACCGTCATGGATCTACAGCATTCAGTGCCCTGCACTGAGAAGAGTCTCACTCAATGACTCCCGAGTAGACACTACTATGTCCTTATCTCAGCCCCAGGAGCAGTGAATCCATAGCTTCGGAGCCACTAATGTCTGACGTTGAAATACTTTGCTCCTAAAGCTCTCTGAGCTCCAAAGAACATGAGAATCCAGACTTCTCCTCTCCTGTTTAGCGAAACCAATAAAGGAGGAGAAAGAACATCCCATTTTCTGGAAGACTCCTGTATTTCTCAGGTCACTGTGCTCCAGAGGCAAGATTTGAAGCCCAAGTCGTTCTGTCTCTGGAGGCTTCCAGGCACTGGAGCTGGATGGAACCCCAGGCACCCTTGGTGACCTGTGCACTGCCTCGTTATTCCCAAGAAGAACCCATCATAATTTTGCTAATGCTTGTTGTTCTAATGACTTTTTAATTATCTTCCCTCTCCTCCTCCTTAGTTGCTAACTTGTCAATTTAGAGAATTTCTTGTTAAAAAGGGTGCTACTTTTAATGATGACAACCACTACTGTTAAAATTCCATTAAGTACTTCACTCAGGAAGTTATTTAAATGATCGGAGCTACAGAGCACAGATAGGCTTCAAGCAAGTAGCAAATACAGGGTCTGTGCCTCTATATGGGTGATAACGCTTTGAAATCTGGACACTTCGTCAGATTTATTGCCCAGTTTCTACTATGTTATTGATCAATAAATTAATTATTGTGCAGTTTTTAAAAAGCTCTTTGATGGGAGCAGCAGATGGCATAACGGCTATGTCCCTGGACTTCCATGTAGTCAACTGCGGTTCGAGTCTGGACCTGGTGGCTTAAACTCACACTGGGTGCGTGTGCGTGCGTGCGTGCATGCCCAAGATCCCAAGAGAAAAATGAAGGAGTGGGGACTGTGGTGTGGCCATCCCTGCTGGAGGGTATTTTTTGCTTTCTGTCTCTCTGTCTCTCTCTATCTTTCTGGCAAGCACATGCACCCTATAGCAAAAACCTCTCAACCACAAAAAAAAAAAGCTCTTTGATAATTTCACAGTGAAACCATTTTTTTTTTCCCATTCAAAACACTGGATTTTTGTTTGTTTGTTTTTAATTTGCTATAGGGGCACATACATTTGCAAGAGAAAGACAAAGAAAGTGGGAAAGTGAGAAATCATCCCCTAGGGAGGCTGGTCACACTACAATTCCTTCTCCTCCATTCTCCTCTCAGAATTTTGGGTACACACACACACACACACACACACACACATGTACCCAACATGTTTTTCAAGCCACAGGGCCCAGGGTTCAAACTGGCCTTTGGAATCCAGTTGCCTTAACCACCATGCCTCTGGCTGGCCTGAAACACTAGATTTTGAAAACAACTAGGACTACCTCCTCCAACCCTCTCATTGCACCAGGTGAAGCACCAAAGGCCCCTTAACTAGTCCACTGAGAGTTTTCCTTTGATCATTCATTCAGCAAAAATATACTAACTGCCAGGCCTGGCCAAGGCACCGAAGATACAAGGTGAACAAGACAGACAAGATCACCAATCTCATGGAGGTTATCCAGGGAAAGACTGTCCTGACAGAGAGGAGAACAAGTGCAAAGGCCCTGAGGCAGGAGTGACTGACATGTTTATGATACACAAAAAGGAAATATTTGTGACTATAGTCTAGTAGGTGAGGAAGCATGGCAGCAGCAGGGATGGGCAAGGGAGGCAAGATCTAAGTCTCATAGCATCTAAAGCTTTGGGGGGAAAGAATACACTTCATTCACGGTGTGATGTAGTCACTGGAGAATTGAAGCAGGAAACCATGCTGCCTAATCCACATTTTCAAAACCATTTGACTGTGTCATGGATAATGACCACTGTCTTTGATTTTTCATCCTAAAACTCAGTTGTAACATGGAGCATTACCTTCATAACTACACTAATGAAGTCATTTCAGTGCTTCTAGGCTTGGTCACTTGCAGCAGGGCAAGGCTGGAAGCAATATAGTGTTTGAAGCAAACATGGGTGGAGGAGAAAGCTCTGAGATTAGAGCCCACAGATGAGGTTGTCCAAAGTCTATCTCTGTGCAATGTATCTTGCTGAGCTCCATAGCCAACTATCTTACCCAAATTCCAAGAACCTTCTAGTAATACCATTCAGATAGGCTATTCTTTCATAGAAAACCATTAGCCTTTTACTCTAAGGGCTTAAGGATAACTCACCTTGCTCTCTGTTCCACAGGGCTAGAGGAAACTATAGGAATTTTCTAATAGCCACTGTATTCATTCTACTTTCTATGCTTAAGTAGGAAAGTTGCAAAGGAAGGGAACTAGGGTTATGGAGGAATGGTGGGGGAACAGGTGACCAGCAAATGTGGGGTATAATCACGTAAATATGCTAGATAATACCTCTTTGGATACTTCGTTTTAGCTTGTTACACAGATCCACACGGGGATTATCTACATTCTCTTCTACAGATCCCGGGCTTTGTTCTGGAGAAGAGAGGCCTCTGCTAAGGTCCAATGGTACTTTACTGCTGTGGGGTGGTGGGGATGCAGCAGGGCTATAGGTGGTGGTAGGAGTGCTGGATGACGAGGAAGTAGTCAGGTCCAGTGCTCCTATCCTTGAGTTCAAGGGAGAAGTCAAGGACAGCTTTCTGGTCCTCACTGGGGAGGATGTTCTGGACACAGCCAGCGGTGGTGGGGAAGAGAATTTGCGACATAGACGTGGCGATTTTCCATCTACCAAATGTTCACCTCTGTTATTCTGACTGGTAGCAAAAAACAATTCCAATGACCTAAAAATAAGAGCAAAAGCTATGAACAGACTGTAACCAAGGAAATAATGAATTCCCCTGATGTCATTCAAGTACATGCTCCCTTCGTTTGAAGGCTATGATATCATACTTTTCTTGCTAGATTTTCCTTCATCTAAATGCTACATGTATACTCACATTTGCCAAAGAAACACAGGCCGTTTTAGGCATTGTCTAATCCCTTGCTAATAAAAACCAGCAGCACTGGAGTCTCTGGGGAGCCTATTAAACAGGCAGAACTCAGGCTCCACTCCAGACCTACCAAACCAGAGCCTGCAATTTAACAGGACATGCCCCCCTGCCCTGGCTGATTCTTAGGAATATTAAAGTTTGAAATGTACAATTGTCAAAAAAAATTTTTTAAGGCCTAAAACAATAGCCAAGTTCCAAATAGTTCCAAATAATCACAAAGCAAAGGCCACTTGGAGACTTTGGGGTTCCCAACGCCTTCCCTAGGTAACCTTCTGTGACCTCTGCTTATCACCCTCTGCTGGTGGCCATGGGAAGTTCAAAGGCCGACAATGCCCTAGGAGCTGCTTTGCAGAGTGGTGCTTCTCTTCTGCACGGGTGATCCAAGAACCAGGAGAGCCATACTCTCTTGACAGTCAAATCTGGACATACCTGACAGGGATGGAGGTGAAAGGTCTCTTGTATATGTCAGAAAGCTTGGCCAGCACCACTGCAGCCGTAGTGAAGATCCGATAGGTGTGCAGAAAGGTGTTGAGGAAATCAATACTAAGAAACCGCAAGTCTGTCAGCCGCTCCAAGAGGCGCTCCACACTGGCATAACGAATCTGGGGCACTTTGCAGGAGTTGAGGGTTTTACTGAAGCAAATGTCAGTGTCATCTTTATGAAGACGGGCATCAGACCTACGCATAAGACAGGAACATGATAGCAAAACCGGGAGGAGGCTCCTTTCTCAGCCTTGTATTTCAGTATTTGTAAACACACACTTGCGTGTGGACTTCCCATTGCACCTGATGGCAGATGGAGACATGAGTGTGTTGACAGGACACACAGACGTATGACAAGGCAGGGCTGGGGGAACTCAAGTGTGCCATTGTAATTTAGGAAGGTCAAAGTTAATTGTGGAGGAGGTAATAATAATTCATTTCACTCAGTGGATTCCTTCTCTCTCCAGTTTGATCATGTTGTATTAGGAATGTGAAGCCAAAGCCCTCTTTAGGAGGGAAAGAAAGCATGGCTTATGCCATTAAGGATGAATGTCAGCAATATGCTTAAAAGGTGACCAAGCCTCTAGCCCCCAATCCAGAAGAGACACAGAGAGCCCTGTAATAGCCATAGTTGTTTCTTTTTTCTCACTTTTAATTTTGTATATTCGTGCTTCTTTTTATTCTTGAGTAAACTAACATGTTCTGTGATTAGGTAATTTTTTCTCTAAAAACCGTTCTTTGATCTATCAATTCTATTGTTCTTCTATATTTTAATTTATTACTGTCTGTTCTTATCTTAATTATTTCCTTTCTACAATTTCCTACAGTTTAGTTTCTTGTTCTTTTTCTTACTTCTTGAATTGGATGTCTAATTTACTTATTTTGCTCTTCCTGGAATATTAATGTGTTCAAGGCTAAACATTGTCCGAATTCAATTCAACCCATAAATTGTTAAATGTGACATATTATGTTTTCATTACATTTTCAGTATTATGCAGTATCACAAATGTCTTCATTAAAAGCAAAAAATAATGGGGGAAACACATTCTCCTGAACAGTATACCCACCACTGGTCCCCTGCAAGACTCTGCTTTTAACATTCTGTAAAAGCCCCATCTGGTGGTCCTCAGCCCCCTGCCCTGCAGCCTTCGCACAGCAGCTTCTTCAGGTCGACCAGTAAGACCACAGGCAGCCTTTGCTTCCCTTCTGAGAACCTCGCTCCCCCTCACTGCAGCTTCTTGGAGCAGGCAATCGATGAAGGTCTGGATTTCACCACTTGATTAAAGGATGTGCTGCAGGGCCAGTGGTTTTTGGGGAGCCAATTGTTTGCTAAAAATCAGTTGGCTTATTGTGAGTGCCCTTAATTATCTCTCTCAGCACTTTGAGGGATTTTAAATTATATATTTATTTTCTTTTGGATAAAAATGAATCAATAGCATTTTTAGCTTGCTCTTGGAATCTTCCCAGACTAACACATGCTCATCGCAGGCAGAAGCACTTCATCGGCAGGCCTGAAAGAGCATTTGAAATGAGCAGCTTACCCCTACTGGCTCAGGGTGGCCTGCTAACATTGTCGCATGACTAATCACAGAACACACAGGGGCATTTTTCGAGACCTTGAAAATGGCATGGCTCTTTCTTCTACTCTGGGACCCTCAACCATTTCACTTTTCTGGTTCTTAATTTTCTCCTTTGTAAAAAGACCTGAGACACTTATGAATCTACCAATCATTCCTGCAGATGGCTAAACTTTTTTCCCCACCTTTTTTCCTTAGTCTGTATACCATCTCAAGGAATATTTTCACCTAAGTGTTATGATTTTCATTCTAATCGTAGTTTGGAGCTTTGCATCTTCTAACTATAATTAGTGTATTCAAAACACTAGGAGAAAAAATATGTTGCAGGCAGCATGAAATTAAAATAAAACTGACTAAAACATTACGCTGCTGTCCTTCAAAATTGTGATTGCATTTTCATTTTAAGTAAGGAAAGGAAATTAAATATTACGAAATGATTTAATTTTCTTTTATTACACTGAATAGGAGCTTACTTTATTTCCTAAGGGACTCTCGAGAAAGATATAATGCATTTTTAAGCCTCCTATGATAATAGCAACTTCTTTTTGGTAAACACTTAAAAAGGCAATCTCGAGAGATCAAGCACAAATCATCTATTAACACTGGTAAAAGTTTTAAAAAGAAGTGAGTGATTACAAAGTGACGCTGTCTCGGTAACAAGACATAGTTACAATAGGATTTTTGTTTGTTTGTTTAGCTCTGAAAATCTTAGGTTCTTTCCCT